ATGCCTTGTAACATGGGTGAATGGTCAGTATCGCAATATTAATTTGTTTCAACAAGGGTTCCAATCAAGTAAACAGAAACATGTGTAAATGAATAATTTGAGATGACAATGTCTCTACAGTAAGTATGTATAGGAATAGGCATAATGCATTGAAACATGTCAAAGTTCAGAATGGAATTTCCGGTCATTTTTTAGCAAACTTTTCTGTTACACCAAATAGAAACATGAATGTTCCTAACAAATTGAAACCATAACTAACTCTCTACTGTCAGCGGTTGTGGAGATATGAAGATTCTATTTCTATGACCTTCCAACATGTCAAAGGTCAGAAACGGCTTTTCCGGTCGTATTTTGGTAGGCCTAAAATGTTCTATTACAGCAAATAGAAACATGAGTATTTTCTATTAGACTGAATATCAACATTAATGTTCCGAACTTATTGACACCACAATTAACTCCTTACCACCAGTGGTTGCGAAGATATGATGACCCTATTGCTATGACCTTGAAACATGTCAAAGGTTAGAAACATGATTTATGGTCATTTGTTAGCAAAATGTTCCATTAGAACAAATAGAAACATGACTGTTCTGAACAAATAGGCACCAAAATTAACTTTCTACCACCAGTAGTTGCGGATATATGACGACCCTATAGCTATGACATTTGACCCTGACCTTTCGACCTTTCGCCACATTTTGAAAATGTTTTACCAAGCTAAAAATGATTCTTGGACCACCCTAAACCAATTTCTGAAGTCAAATTCTCTGGACCTCAAAGTGCATACAAAACCTTGTCTGGCTACTAGGGTATAAGTAACTGGCCTTGTTTTACCACACTAGTATGCAAACTAATTATACGATTGCTGTGGTTGTTTCAAAATATTCAATTCTTCTAATTAACATTACTATAGTTGTTTCTAAATGCTAATTCTGAATTTGTTGGCTTCAATACCATAAAAAAAAAGTTTACCAATTAAGAATTAAACCTTCAGAAAGATTATATATATTATATTATATTATTATATATTCCACACACAGAGATAGTCTAAGTACACACAGAGATAGTCTAAAGTCTTCAAATATTCTTTGCTGAAAAATTCAAATACTGAACTGCAACGTCATTGTCCTATAAAAACATCATTATTATTATGCTGTTTATAAGTTGTTCTGTGTTTATAATGCGTCAGTTTCTTTCCTGATTTTCAGTTCGACATAAAAAATAGGCGATTGTTTCTGAAGCGCTCAAAGTGTGATTCTGTAGGGTTTGAGGATCTGTATGTTGGCAGTACGGTGTGAAGGTTCATTCCAGAAAGCTTACATTTGTAAATTGCTGACGACTTCACCAGAAAAGTATTAGGCCAACAAAAAGTAAGGTACAGTATATTGGTTTATATAAGAAACTTTTGTAATATTAATTGTAATAATGTTAAGTGCCCATAGTTTCTCCATAAGATTTCAATTTGCAAGGGATAACACTGTTAACTTTAACTTTCATTTAAATTCATTTACAGAACATTAGCAATGATAAAACCTGATGCTATATCGAAAGTTGGTAAGTATGCCATTGCTTTTTAAAACAATTTTACTCTTTACTGCCAATCGAACCCATAACCATCAGATAAATAGTGTGGTGTCTTGACCACTAGACCACCAAGCTCGCACGCACTTTGTGATTAGTTTTGAAGCCGATACCCAAGTAACAGCCGGTGCTGCAGTGCTATTCCCATGGCGTTTGTGTCAGTTGAAGTAATAGGAATGATATGTTTTTGCCTGACCTGACATGTTATCTTACTGAACACTCAGTATGTTTCCAAATACTTTATTATTTCTCTTGATGATCGGAAAAAGATAGTATATCCATGGTATATCTTAGTACATCTTGATAATTGATGGATAGGTTAATTGGTTGAGTGATTGATTAATTTATTAGCTCTTTTCATACTTATGTAACAATCCTTTTTTTAGGTGCCATTTTTGGTATTATCTATAAAAGTAACTTTCTTGTGAGTAATGCTAAGATGATAACACTATCTGCAGCAGAGGTCGAAAGGTTCTACAAGGAACACGTTGGAAAACCATTCAATGTATGGACGTAAAGCTGATAATTATCATTTCAATGTAATATCAAAAATATGATATTAATATAATGTATAATAATAATAATATATTATTATACGTCATATTTTTTTTTTTTTTAAATCCAGCAATCTGGCTATCTAGCTATTGAGCTGATGGGGGAGGGCAGCATTGATAATTGGCGACGTCTTCTTGGACCAACAGCAGTATGGCAAGGAGTGAAGCTCCAAGCAGTATTAGGGCAAATTTTGGAACTGGTAAATTATAAGTATCCTTAGATGTAGTGTGGACTTCAATGGCAGTTTGTACCTTTTGAATAGTAAACATCCTTAGTCAATTGTACTGTGATTGGCAACGGCGCCCGAAAGTGATGGGCGTTGTATCTTCAAATGAGCATAGTAAATCAAGAAGTCCACATGCGCATATAACTCTGTGTGGACCTAGTTACTTCCTAAATCTTACCGTCATTGCACAATTAGAAAGGTTCTAAGTATTGACAGCGCGCTGTAAATGTGTCATTTTGTTTAACCAGATTCAAACATCAATATCAAAGCCAATACCAATATCCTTTCATTCATCATTTGCATGTGTAATAAAAATGATTTGGCTACCTTTGGTCAATAAGTAAACAATTTAAATACTCCCAACTATGCAACTCGGGTTAGAGACGTTACTTCAATGGGTAACATAAGATAAAACCAGAGCCTCTGGGCTCGCATGCCATAGTGCTCATCTCTTTCTATAATATTTGGCCAGTATTTACCGACAACGATAAGATCTAGAATGTAATGACATCCAATAATCTGCGCATGCGACAACATTGATTTATCTACGGACATGGAGATGTATAACAAATCCGGGGATCACAATTATAGTATTGTGCCCTTCCAATAGCAATTAACATTGTTAATAATGTAAAAAAAAAAATGAATGATAAATTCAAAATCAAAATATAAATTTTTATTATCAATGTAAGTCTATTACATTTCTTTTGTTTTTTTTTTCTTTTGGTACAGGTCAAGCCGGAGAGATTATGTCCGCTATCTGTCAGGCAGGTTTTAACATCTCCGCACTGGAAATGTTCCACATGGAGCAAGCTAATGCTGAAGAGTTTCTTGAGGCTTACAAAGGAGTTGTTAATGAATACGTGGTAACTGATTGTATTTTTTATCTTGACAATACATTGGTAGCTGTGATTATCATTATTGTCTTAAATTGTTAATATCTTTTGCAAGGACCCATATATTATATTAATTTCTCTTTTTTTAAATTTTATTTATTGTATAATTTTTTTTTTTCTTCACATGCAAACACAAGTATATACTTGCCACTTAAATGGTGGAACGATGCTTTATAAATCAAATCTCTTATTGAGGCTTAGGTGGAGTTGTTTTTAATTGTGAAAAGGAACCTGCTGTGACAGGAATTGAACCCAGGACCCAGGGATTAGAACCATGTGTAAATCAGGCTGTTGCACCCTCCTGATATGTTATTCTGTATAAATATATTAAATAACTAAATAATTAAAATATCCTTATATGTTATCCTATGTTAAATAAATAAAATATCCTGATATGGTATCCTGTATAAATATGATAAGTTAATAAATTAATGAAAGAATGGATGGATGGATGGATGGATGGATGGATAGCTGGATGGATGTATAGATGGATATTGATATTATTAAAAGTGGTATCATTATTAATTTCTTGCCTTTATTTTTATTTTGTCAAATAAAGCTTCTTTATTTCTGACAAATAAAGCTTCTTTATTTCAGACAATAAAATGCTTTTACAAAATAAACATTCGCTTTTGTGTGTGTGTAACAATTTGATTAATATTGCATAATTATTTAACAATTATCCATATGAATGACTTGGCTTTTTTGCAGGATATGGTGACCGAGTTGTGCGCAGGCTCTTCTATTGTGCTTGAAATCTCGGGCTCTGATAATATTACTACCACTTTCCGGGAATTTGTAGGCCCAGCAGATCCAGAAATAGCCCGACATCTGCGACCAAAGACCCTACGAGCAAGGTTCGGCAAGAACAAGGTGCAAAATGCTGTCCACTGTACAGACTTACCAGAAGACGGTATCCTCGAGACAGAGTATTTTTTCAAGATTTTGAGTTCATAGATTTGATAGGCAAATTGAATATGCAGGCAATTTATGTCAAGCCGTGTAAATAAATATTAGTTTTTTTGAAACATTTGTATAAAAAACATACTGAAAATATTGTACAAATTGTTCTGGTTGTACTGAAGTTATTCACTATAAAGCAACACACATTTATTAAACTATGCTCAGAATATGTTATACAGTATTTACATAAAAGTAAGTAATTTTGGTTTTATATAAAAGAAATTATAAATCAAATATAAAAGTTCTTTGACTTGGACTTTCATCACCACTGTGCAATGTCAGTGCAGATCAGTATATGTCAGTGTACAGAAGCTTGGATGCATTCTCTTATAAATTTTTCAGGACGAATATGTAATAAAAGAGACCCAAAGTTGTCCTAACAGACTTGTAAATTTATCCTCAAAAAGAAGCCCATTGTCTTCTTTTCAAGGTAGCATTGGCCTCTTTTTGAGATATTCACATACACTGTACATCAGTTTCAGAAAACAAAATAAATTAAATACAAACTTGTTTTATACAGTTGTTTAGGTGGTTTAATGCCAGTTAAATTCATTCCATAATATAGATTGCTGTTACAGTGGCTTTATTTACTGTTATATAGTACAAATTCACAACATTTACAGCATTCATTTTGAAAAGAAGCCCTCCCAAGTTCGCAAAGAAAAGAAGTAGACCAGGACTTCAATTCGAGGTTTTACGGTGTATTTATAAATGGCGCCCTCTATTAAATATACGAAATCTGAATCTGATTTTTCAATGATGAATCTTGATTATATTGATTATTGTGTCTGGTCAAGGTCTGGTAAAGATGTCCATTTTACAACCCACGGACAGGGTTAGCGCCAGCAGGGCTGGGGGCCAGGGCCCCCCGTCGGGGAGAATTACCACAATTCGTCAGGGAGAAAAAAAAATTATATGTATTTTCTACATCAGTAGGCATGGACTCTAAAATCAATTAAATACAGTAAGCCTTTGAAACCCCTTATTTTTCAACATTTTCGGGGCTTTGCCCCTGGACAACTTTCAGAACATTTTAAGCTACGCTTGACCACGCCCACTTTGCTCTCTTCTGGGATATCTTCCCCCTCATCGGGGCATCTCCCCCTCCCCGGTCGGGACCTCGGAACCCTTCTCCCTCGGGCAAATCCTGGCGCCACCCCTGCTGCCTACGGAGTAAGTGATAAAAAGAAAAAACATGGGAGTAGTGAAATTGGTTTGTATCGTACCGCGATTAAACTTTTCAAGTCGCAGTTTATCTCCATTCAGCTATTATTATTAGCAGGAATTTTCTAACCAATCATACTGCAACATTTATTGAGGACATAATCTGATAGGCGATAGGAGGTGTGTGTTGAGAATTGATTAGAAAAAAAGAATAACAGTATTTTCCGGTGCACAGTAATTTTCACTGCTTCTGGTTACACCTGCCCGTTGAGGGAACCACATGGATAACATAACGGGATTGTGTGGATTATATGAACACGTACGTTCATGACAAGTTTAGAATCCTATTAAGATGTCTTTTTTTTATTTCCGAAATTACAACGGTCCATGTTTCATCACTACTAGGTTTCGTATACGAAGGGTTCTGGATGTAAATCGTTTTATCGTTTTTTGTCTTGAATTTGTTTGTATCGATCTTGTTTTTATATTATACAACTTTTTTGCCTAGGAGCAACGGCGGAGAATGATGCAAAAGGTAAGATACTTTAGAGATTACCTATAATGACGTATTTTATTAGGCCACTGACAGTGTAGGCCTATGTGGTTTTTAAACCTTTGATTTTCCATTTTTAATATAATGTATTCTGTGTTAATTACTTCGCCGATTACAATATTGGAATAAACCTAATATAATAATGTTTTGAAAAGTTTTAGGTGCCAAGCTCGGTTTCCATACAATCGC